CGTTAGAGAAATTTTATCCTGATAAAAATAAAAATTACCGTGCCGGTAAAGTAAAAATTACTGTACCGGTAGGGTAAAATTTACCAACCGTTCTAGAATTTTCGTTGTTATCTACATAGAAATTATTGGACTGGAAGGGTAAAATTTATTATGCGTCATGATAAAATTTCTCTGACGTAGAATAAAATTTGATGGTCATAAATTAATTTTTACTAAATTTCCGGATAGAAATGAGGAATGAGGTGTGCCCATGAAATTTTATTTTTTGTCCAACAGCGTAGACTTGTCCATAACTTTTTCGTATGTGTAGTGATTTTCTAATTCATTGAATTGCTGATTACGCTAAATCGTTTGATTCACTACAATTTCCGATTCATCGAGTTCGAAACGACAAGAGTGAATGAAATTCCGGTAAAGAGATAATCCAATTGACCTATTCAATCTCGATAATGAACTGAAATGGGTATGTCACTAAGAAATGACCAGAATGAATTGGTCTTCTATTGCTTATAATTCTTCAAAATGTTCACCTGAATAACTCAGATTATTCCACGAGCGATGTCAGCTTCCCAAGCTTGACGAGTTCGTTCTGTTGTCGCAAAGGTGAGAGTGCTCCATTTCCATTGCGATTTCAAGAACATTCAACCGTTAAATTTCTCCATTATTGTCGGGCTATCTACGCGGTCAAACCTGATATTTTTTTAAGTTATAAATTACATAGAAAGCAGGACACTATGTGCTATCTTTCAACTTTCCGAACCTCTATACGAAGGAAACAATTAAATAATTATCAATGCACGAATTAAAAAATTCGGAGGCACATGGACTTCAACTCAAGTGGAGTATGATCCTACATCTCCAGTTTGCCGGACTGGTACTCTGCCAATTGAGCTATTGAGGCCTCCTCCGCACCTTCGAATTTCAGAACTTGTGTATATCGTCTGTTGTTTCCACACCCTCCGCCCTTCCCGATTATAGCCAGTATTCACTAAAAAGGAAAGAAATTATTACGACTGGTATGTTCATATTCTACATTCTGTCCGGACTATCTACACGGTCATACCTTACATATTTTAAGGTATAAATTACATGGAAAGGAGAACACTATATGCTATCTTTCAACTTATTGAACCTCACTGTTAAAAATTTTCGTCTGAATTCACTGAAATTTCAGGAAATCCTGTCATTGAAAAATCAAATATTTCATTGATTTTCTGTTCAAATGATCTAGAAATCAATAAAATACTTGATTTTTCAGAATAATTATTTTGTGAAAATTTTTGTGGAAAATCAACAACCTTCAAGGAAAAAGTGAAAATTCATGTCATTTTGCTTCTGAACATTCATGTTCCACTGAAATTTCAATCAAGCTGTGAATTTTCCATCTGACTCCCTCTGAAAACATGAACTTCCGGGAATTCTAGTTAAAACTTGAAATTTCATAACCGTTTTTTCCCTGAATCCGATTCAATATCACTCTTATGAGATTCACTATAATATCTTTCATGAAAATCCGACAAATTTCCAACAATACTCCATATAAAAAAAAATTCTTGAATCGGGTATATAATATTCTAGAATCAGCAATATGTGCATTCCGAAATCCGGGACTTTTATTCTCGATTCTGAAGTCATTCCCAGGAGTTTGCAGATTTTTCAGAGGGTGAAGGAAGTGTTGTAAGATATTTTCCGTTAAAAAACTTTTAGTCGTTTTGAGTATTAGGGATTCAAAAGTTTTTTTTCAATGGAAAATACGAAAAATTTAGTTTTTCGCAGAATAATCTATAAGGGAAATTTCCACTCTGTAGTTTTAGGTTGATTTCGCAACAAAAGTTTGTTATTGGAAAATGTCTCAAGACATTCTCTTCATCCTTTGGAAAATTGGTAAACCTCTGGAAATGGTACAAGGGAGTATGCTGTTAAAAAAATATCTGAATTTTCTGGGAAATGACACTAAATTCAATTTACATGAAGAGAAATATTCAATAAAAATTACGTATCTTTTCCGTAATTCCGGAGCGAAATGTGTGGTTGTAGGAAATTTTACGGAAATGTCACGTAATTTTTACCTAAAATCACGAAATTATTCCGGAGCGTTCCGTAATTTTTATCTGAATCTCCTGTGAAAAATTACGATATCGTCACTCAAGTTTTCTGAGTCGATTCCGTAATCAATGAGCGAACTGTGAGTTCCGTAATGTGTACTGAACATTTTTTTCCGTGTAACGGAAAAAAGTCTATGAAATTTCAAGTTTCCCTGAAAATTCAAAGACATTCCTGATTTATCAGTGGAAAAAAGAGGAAAATTCCATAGTGCACATCAATTTTCAATACGAACATGAAAATTCAATAAGAAATTTCCCTAAAATTTCAAGAAAATGAAAATTCAAGGATAGGTTTGCCTGATTTTACCTAACTTCCGCTCATTTTTATGGAATAATTCAATTGAAATTTACATTTTCCATTCATTTTTCAAAAGTGGCTGAAATTTCAGTGAAACTGTCACTTGTTTGATATTTCAAGGCTAAAATCCAGAAAATTCAGTTAAAATGTTTTAACAGTGTATTGAGAGGGTGAAAAGCTCAATCTTTCGTATTTTCAAATGGAAAAAAATGTCTGCACCCCAAATACCTTGAACGACCAAAAGTTTGTTATTGAAAATTGTCTTATGACACTCCCTTCACCCTTTGAAAAATCGGCAACCCCCTGAGAATGTCCCCGGAATCGAGAATAAAATATTCCGAAACATAATATCTCCGATTCCGGAATACCCATATTCCTGATTCCAGAATATTATATACCCGATTCGAAATTTTTTTTTTCCGTCAATAATTATCAATTCACAAATTTAGAAATTCGGAGGCACACGGATTCAGCCGTTAATATTCCGCTCAATCCCCATTTTGAATATTTTCCAGGCGCCTGTGTCATACAATCTTACAATCAGGCATCAAATAGCCTCGATGTCCAATGGACGACGAAAATAATTAATTTTCTAATCAATTAATCTCTCCACAACAGCTAGTCGTCGAAGCAATATTGACGCCGCCACCGGTGTGTATCCCACCCTAAAAATTACACCATCCCTACCACCCTTGATCTAGCAAATCCGATAATTACAACCTCATGCTTATCCCATAATGAGTTCACGAGATAATTAACACCATCTCTGTGATTAATTTATGATGACTAACGTCACTATGATGAATACCTGAAATTCCCAGAATTCCACATTTATTGATATGTTCATTGAAAATACGATAGTGTTAACCGCAGGCCATGCATTAACACGCCTATTAACTCCCCCGAAGGCAAATTTATATCCTATCTTTTCCAATTTTATTCTCATTCACCGACGGCAATAAACCTCGCATTATTTTATCACATTACCATATCAGCTCAGAATCGTGTAATGTACGTTATGGTGATGAGATGATTACAATGTTTAACCATCAATATTTCATACTTTGTTTTCATCACTCCCCAGCAAAATACATAATGGATGAAATTTTTCCTGAATTAAACATCCGGTATCTGGTTCAATCGCCGTCTCAATCTCCAGTAGAAAATAACTGAGATCAGACGATAAATGATAGAAACACAAAAAAGAAAGAAAATAAATGAAAAAAAAAGATAATTCATCGTCTTGACCTCAGACAATCATCAATCGGCTCTAACAATCTCCAATTTTCCGGCTCGTATAATCTCGAGAGAAATTCTCGTTTATCGTTGTGTGCATGGGATCGTAGAAAAGCTATCGGGTGAATGGACAGTTCCAGGTGGTAGTGGATGGTAGAAGGGGAGTGCAACGAGGAGGATTTTCAACTGAGATCTGCGGGAACGAAAAGCGGTCCGAGATAACCAATCACTCGTATGAGCGATCCGAAACTAATTCCCCTTATCCCCATTGGTTTGATTGATTGCGGCTAAGATTTGATCGATCCCCGCACATGTTCCCTCCCTTTTACTCCATGAGTGTACCACCCTGGACGATAGTTAAAGTGACAGAGGGAGACATAACGATAATTGAAAGAAAGAGACGAAAACTGAATTCTCCGTGACATGTGCGGTATCCCCCCTCCCCCTTTAGTCTCTAGGGCAGAGTCCTTCATATCGGAATTCTTGCCTCTCTGATCCTTTCCCGAGCGCACCACAAGCACCCTCTCTCTCTCTCTCTCTCTCTCTCTCTCTCTCTCTCT